TTTCCTGCACTCTGCCCAAAGTTTGGCTATGAATCTCAGCATCTGTTTTGATACCCTGCTGGGTAGAGTCTTTCAGAGGCCATCTGTGGTAGGCTCCTGTCCTGTTTCCTGTTTTCTCCCTCTTCCGATGTCCATCCCGTTTGCTTCTCTGAGTGAGGATTGATACTCTTACCCAGGGTCCTCCACTTGCTTAGCTTCTTTAGGTGTACAGATGTTAGTGTTTATCCTATATTATATGTGTAATGTACCAGGATATCAAGACAATAGGACTTACAGTAGGAAGAAATTTATTGGGTGTGTAGGATGCCCAGAGCTCTTCTGAGGGATCATATAGAAATGCCTGTGTCTATTCTGACCTCCAGCTCTGCAGCATCCTTGTGTGCCACCCATATCCCATAAGCTGGTTGAGCTTGTGACTCTTCTCTGGGTCCACATGACAGTCATTAGGACTCTGCCCAGCCTGACCTCCTATTGTGTTCTTCATGGTCTGCACTCTTGTTTTAATGAGTCTTTGCTCACCTCCCCCCATGTTCTTCTGGAGCATCTTGTAAGACATGCTCTGTTTGACGAGCTATAGTTTAATCCAGACAGACAATAACGCTCCTGAGGGGGGATCTCATTCCTTTCATTCTGGGGTGGTCATTTGTATTACTGCAAACATATGTTCTCAAAAATGCACATTACATAAAAAATCTGGTATGGATTGGGAGCTTCATTGTCATGGCATACTTTTAATCTCATGGGGAAAGGCATAAAGAATAATGTAAGCGCTTTAAGACATTTGGATGGTTGGCTCTTTTGGAAGAATAATCTCAACAATATTCTCAATTATCCTCAAACCACTGGACAGAGATGCATATTTTGAAAGAATTTTTTGACTGTCTGTTTAGGCCATCCTTCTTAGACTATATAACACTGAGAAAAATCTATATTTCTGAATTTTTTTAAAAAAGTGCTTAATTAATTCAAATTATATTTTTGTGCATGGGTGTTTTGCCTTCATGTGGATTTTGTGTACTATGTACCTGTAGTGCCTGCAGGGGCTAGAGGATGGCATTGGAGCCCTTGAAACTGGAGTTACAGAATTCTAAGGGGCCCTTATGGGTACTTGGAATCAAACATGGGTCCTCTGGAAGAGCAGTCAATGCTCTTACCCACGGAGTCATCTCTCCTGCCTCCCTACACGTGAAGAAACTGGGTCAATTTTTCTTATTTACCCATGACTCCAAGTCCAAGATAGAAATTCAGTTTTCATCCACAATGTCTAGTGACAGATAGGACAGTATTAGCTACACCTTATATAATGATGACAATGTAATGGTGAATTCTCTTCCAGGTAACACTAAATTAATATAGTGGTGTGAACAGTAACAGGTAGAGCTGCCTGCCCTGTGTCCTCCGATGCATATTTAAATGTATCTGCTTACCAAGTGCACAATTTGCTTTATTATTATTATTATTATTATTATTATTATTATTATTATTATTGCTGTTGTTGTTGTTGTTGTTTTACCTGTCAGTTTCAGTGCAATTTGGACAGCCTGACATTACCTCACTATGTTTTCACCCTGTGAAACCTCACTACATTTTATTTGTCAGAATTATTAGAAAGTTAGTGATCATGCTCAAGATGTACAATTTAGGCATGCCCCAGAAGGCTGAGGATAAGCGTTGGGATACATGCATGCAAAATCAAATGAAAAAAAATAAAACAATAGTCAAATCTGGTTGTTTAGTGTTAAATGTTTATATTGAGGGAAAGTTAGATTTTGGTTAGTTATTTTTGTCTCCTTCACACACAATTTAGAATTCCTTAAAATGTGCCCTATCTCTTTATATCAGTAGACCTGCAGGTAAGCATATACCCAGAAGGCTAAAGTATTGAACAAAATGTTTCTGGCACTTAGTTGAATGAAAACAACCTCTCAGCTTTATGCAGGGTTTTATTATTATTCTTTTCCTTGATTTTACTCTAAAATTCTATTTTTCTGCCAACTGAATTAACATTGAAGCATCTAATATTAATGTGCTATTATTATATCACCTTTATAGTTACATATTGTTTGATGTTAGCATATTTTCATCTCTCTGTGTGTGTCTATGTGTGTATGTGTGTTGGTAAGTACAGATGCATTTGGAGGTCAGAGGTCAGTATCAGAGTGTATTTAACTGATCCCTGCCTTCTTTTTTTTAAAAAAAATTATTTATTTTTTATTAGTTACAGTTTATTCACTTTGTATCCCAGTGGTAGCCCCCTCCCTCATCCCCTTCCAATCCCTCCTTCCCTTCCTCATCTCCTCCCATGCCTCTCTCCCAAGTCCACTGAGAGGGAAGGTCCTATTCCCCTTTCCTCTGATCTTAGCCTATCAGGTCTCATCATGATTGGCAGAATTGTCTTCCTCTGTGGCCTGGTAAGGCTTCTCCTTCCAAAGAGGAGGTGATTAAAGAGCCAGCCACTGATTTCATGTCAGAGACAGTCCCTGTTCCTCTTACTAGGGAATCTACTTCGACACTGAGCTGCCATGGGCTACATCTGTGCAGGGGTTCTAGGTTGTCTCCATGCATGGTCCTTGGTTGAAGTATCAGTCTCAGAAAGACCCCTGTGGTCAGATTTATTGGTTCTGTTGCTCTCCTTATGGAACTCCTGACCCCTCCAGGTCTTTCTATCTCCCCCGTCTTTTATAAGATTCCCTGCACTCTGCCCAAAATTTGGCTGAGTCTCAGCATCTGCTTTGATACCCTGCTGGGTAGAGTCTAAACAGAATTCTCTGTAGAGGAATATCGAACTGCAGAGAAACACTTAAAGAAATGCTCAATGTCCTTAGTCATCAGGGAAATGCAAATCAAAATGACCCTCAGATTTCACCTTACACCAATCAGAATGGCTAAGAAAAAAACTCAGTGACAATACATGCTGGAGGGGATGTGGAGAAAGGGGAACCCTCCTCCATTTCTGCTGGGAATGTAAACTTGTACAACCATTTTGTAAATCAATCTGGCACTTTGTCAGACAATTAGAATAGCGCTACCTCAAGATCCAGCTATACCACCCCTAGGCATATATACCCAAAAGATGTCCCACCATTCAATAAGGACATCTGCTCAACCGTGTTCATAGCCACTTTTTTTGTAATAGCCAGAATCTGGAAACAACAAGATGTCCCTCCCCTAAGGAATGGATACAGAAATTGTGGTATATTTATATAGTGGAATACTACTCAGCAATTAAAAACAAGGAAATCATGAAATTTACAGGCAAATGATGGGAACCAGACAAGATCATCCTGAGTGAGGTAGTCCAGAAGCAGAAAGACACATATGGTATATACTCACTTATAAGTGGATATTAGACATATAGTATAGGATAAACATACAAAAATTTGTACACCTAACGAAGCTAAGCAAGAAGGAGGACCCTGGGTGGGAGGATCAGTCCTCACTCAGGAAGGCAAACAGCTTGACATCAGGAGAGAAAGAAAAACAGGGAACAGGACAGGAGCCTACCACAGAGGGCCTCTGAAAGACTACTGCCTTCTTTTTTCTTTTTCTTTTTTATTAATTTATTCACTTTACATCCCGATCACAGCCCCCTCCCTCATCTTTCCCTGGTCCATTCTTCCTTCCTTCCCTCTCCCCCTTATCTCAGTCCCCTAGTCCTCAGAAAGGTGGTGACCTCCTCCCTTACCAACTAACCCCTCACTCTGAAATCTCTTCAGGACTGCCTGAACCTTTTCCTCTGTGCTCTGGCAAGGCCACCTCACTAATTCAATACAAACCACAATGTTAAATCTAAAAGATTACTGACACAATGCATCCAAGAAATCAAGGACACCATGAAAGGATGAAACCTAAGAATAATAGGAATAGAAGAAAGATAAGATTCCCAGCTCCAAGGACCAGAAAATATTTTGAACAAAATCATAGAAGAAAACTTTCCTAATTTAAAGAAAGAGATGCCTATAAGCATACAAGAGGCCCACAGAACACCAAATAGAACAGATCAGAAAAGAAAATCCTCCCGCCTTATTTTCTGAGACAGGGTCTCTCTTTGAATCTGGATTTCAGACAAGTATCCAGACTGGCTGCTTAGTATGCTACAGAGAACCTTGGGGTATAGGCACATGGCATTGTTTAAGCTTTTTGATGTGGTTCAGGGCTGTTGAACTCAGAAATATCAGAGCCATCCCATTCCGGTTTGTGACCATACATTTTCAGAAGTCATGCACCTGCTTCATTACAGTCTATGCTCCGAGTCGTAGAAATGTGACCTTAATGCACGTTTCTACAGATCCCTTCCTCCACCTCTTCTTATCTATAGCCTGCTCAGTTTCTGTTTCCTGATTTGGGAAGGGCTATCCTCTTTGCTCACACATTCAGTCATATACTTCAGGTCTCCAGTGCATGTTGTGCTAACTGTTTAATTTAATAGCAGCCCCTACACTGCATTGTGAAGCCTGTGAATACAGTTTCTAAATTGTCCACCACTGTGCACCTAGCACTGTCATGAATATGTGGTGATGAGTAAATGCAGAGTACCCGAGAACATGGTAACAGAGGACAGTAAACCAAGTGTCTGATATCAATTAAATACCAGCTTTAGATGTGCGTGTGTGTGTGTGTGTGTGTGTGTGTGTGTGCGTGTGTGTGCGTTCAGTCCTGTTAACTTTGAAAGAGTGGTGGAATTCAAAAGATGGAGGCTTTTTTGCCCATTCACATGCCAAGGAGCCCAGGATTTATTCTCTTCACTCATGTCTTATGTCAGAAGTGACAGATCTTGAGTTTGATGAAAGAATCAAGACAAAGAAATTTTATGCATGAAAACACAGCTTTCTTATTCTAGCACTTACTTGTCCTCCTATCTTTGCATCGTCCAGGCTTTAGGAGTTTTTTTTTTTTTTTTTTTTTTTTTAAATAAAGTATCAGGGAGTTCACTTAGGGCCAGATTTGCATGCTGGTGTTCTGTGCGCAGCCCTGATTTTGCTCCTTTCTCATCCCTGTAGATTTATGCATATGTTTTTGAGAACATCAAGTCTGTCCGGCTGGAAGCACTGCTCTTGTCCTTGCTGAGCATCGTTGTCCTTGTTCTTGTTAAAGAGCTGAATGAACAGTTTAAAAGAAAAATTAAAGTTGTTCTTCCTGTCGACTTAGTTTTGGTAAGTATGCAATCAACAGCTCTTAGCTGTTTTCGGGAGGGGGTATAATCTGCGGCTGCTCCCCGTATTGTCTACAGTAACCCACAATCATTCCTGTGTCTTATTAATGAAAGACTAATTTGCGTGGATATACATTAATGTAAGAACAGGAAACATTTTGAGTCAATAATTTTTAAAAAGGAAGGACATATGTTTCCAATTTGTGCAGCATTTCTCATATGCTTTTAATTTTTTATAGAAATAAGAGAACATATCGCCTGAGATCTTATAAAAGACATGTCTGAGAGTGAGCCTTAAATGGTATTGGGTTTGATCTTATGCAAAATAATAAAATATGATACTCTATATTATTGCCATGACACCTCTGTGACAAACGTAGAACTATTATCTGACAAACACTCATTAGTGATGGGAAGGTTTGTTGGTTTTTCTGTACCTGGATTAATTTTACCTCTCTAAGAAGATGCTCAAGGTTTCTATTGGCTAGGGCTGGTTCTTTCAAATATCTTTGTGACTGGAGAAATACATCCTACCTTGCTTCTAAAGACTGAAGTTTTAAGAGCCTTTCCCAGGAGCGTTTACTAAAGTATCACACGGACACAACCACAGTTTACTAACTCCCATGTTCTTAATGAGTTTAGCTTCTTAATGGTCCCTTCCTGGATTACTCATGTATATTGTAAATGATTTCTAAAGAACTTCATTGACTAATTTTTTTTATGGCAAAATCCAAAATGTGCCATCTTCCCTCAGAGTTCTGGAGAGATTAGGAAATATCTGTTGCAACTTGGAAAAGCCATATAGAAAGTTTCATAAAACCAATGTTTGGAAATAACCTTAGCACAAAGCCACTGGCATTCTCTGAAAATCTGTGAGGATCGTTCTTAAAATGGCAGGTATGGCATGGATTATCAAGACCTTGGGCAAAGAGACCAATGCAAGCCCAAATATTTGAAAGGTATAGGACAAAATGTTAAAATTAAGCAGGTTTCCATATTTCTTTTGTTTGTTTTACCTTGACTAAGGGAGCTAAATGATGACCTTACAGACCAAATTAAAATGGAGAATTCTACTTTTGCGAGTCTGAGAGAATGTAGTGGTATGAGGAGATTCATTCTATGCTTGCTCTTTCCCACCCCACTCCAGCTTCATCCTATTCATGAGGTATCTTATTTATACACAAGGATATCCTTGAACCACCGTCACGATTTGGATATGCTCACAGGACCACCACAACTGACCCTCAGTCTTCCCTGGCTCGCTCTGATGGGGAAGAGCCTCTGCAACCATGCAGGGAATGATAGATACTTGGGTATCTGCAGCATATGGAGAAACAAGAGTAGAATCTGAGTTGGGCACCACTGTCTTTTTTTTTTTTATCTATGAAACTTCCAGCTTACAGGGGATGTGACAGTTGGAGGACGGGCAGAGTAGAGCTATCTTTAGCATCCTGGACGATCTCTTCTTGCCTATGTCTAAAAGAAGTGCTGGGCTATACAACCTATACTATTAACAAAATACTAATGAGGGCTGGTGAACTCAACAGATAGAGAAATGAAATCATGTTAAAGAAATGAACAAGTAATCAGGGTGCTGTCTCAGTGACTGTTTTAGCAATGTAGAGACTACTGTTATGTCAAATTAATTTTTATACAGTTTATTGTTGCATTTTCTTTTGTTAAATCTAAAATAATGTTTTGCTTTTTAAGCCCATTCAATGTTTTAGAAACTTTTGTAAGTTCAGTTAAATATCAACAAAAGGCATAGTTAGGAATAGAACTTCAAAAGCTGCTTCTTACTATTGAGCATTTATTGTTAGATGTTTTTTATTTGATAGCATGATTTTGTTATGCTTTTACCCTGGTTATGCAAATGGGGAATTTGTACTTTAGGTATATGATTGAAGTATCCCTTTTACAAGATAAGTCATTTGAAATTGCTTTTATTGTTTTGTTTATATTTGTCCTCAAAAGATTTTTCAAGTCTCATTTTACGTGATAAAACTAGTTTTTTCTTTACTCCTGAGGTTATAATTATTGTAGCTCAACTTGGTAGTATTCTTTGTCATTAGTATTTAGGATCTCAAACATAATTTTATCACAGCCCGTCACACTGGGTCATGAAATTATACAGTAATAGGCCAGAAGAACTGACATAAGCTATGTTCATCTCTTCAGCATGTCTTCAATCAACCTAAAATTTCTAACTAAAAGGCTCAACCTATGTTCTCCAGAGAACAGAAATTCCCATGCTGTAAAGAAGGTACCTCAGGCCAGTCAACCCAGAATTCCCATAGCAAATGAAAAAACATTAGTAGATGAAAGACTAGGAAAATGGGTGGAAAAGTCAGGTGGCATAGCCGGCACAGCACAGGCGGGCCTGGCTCTCATGTGTGTTTAATGATGATTGTGGGGCTGAGGAGAGCGCTCACTGGCTAAGTGCTTAAGCTGAGGAATAGGCTTCTGATGCCAAGAACGCTTACAAATGCCACCCAGTTGAGGCAGACTACTAGTAATTCCAGTGCTGGAAGATGGTACTAGAGGATCCCTGGGACAAACTGGCTCTCAAGACTGGCCATAGATAAGATCTCTGTGTTTGACTGAGAGACCCTGTCTCATTTACTAAGGAGGAACGGCCACTGTAGATGAGTCCAGGCATCAACTTTTGGTCTTCTACATGAGTATGAACCCATGAGCATTTGTGCATGTGCAAACATGTGGCAAGTATATATACACACATGTAACACCTGCACACATGCACACACACACACACTATGACTGTAGACAGAGCGAGTAACCTTTCTTGAATATCTCAATAACATCAAAGTAGCATATCTGAGCCTCCTTGCCGGCTCTCTGAAATCCATTTGTTCCTTCAGGCTGGGAACTGGCATGTTTGACTTCACGAAAGCGATAAAGCTCAAGTTGAAACCCAGTGAGGGAGGCTCTAAATCCGTGATAATGACCAGCATTGTGAGAGCATAGCATAGTACTTCATGCCCGGAGAGATTCTCCTCTCGTGGAGAGAAAAACGTGTCCTTACAGAGCACTCCTTCATGTCACAAGACAAAAAGTAGGCTGAATTGTAGTGCTCGTACACACACACACACACACACATACACACACACACACACACACACACACACACACACACACACACCATGCACTCATACAGCATTGCACTCACACACACATCACTACATTTTGTGTTTTTTGTGCCTTCAAAACTGGCCGTAATTGGGTGGGTACAAATCAAGATGTTAGAAAACCCGCAGGTATTAAATACTGTAGTTTCAGAGGGTCATCCCAAGTTTTAGAAGTACGTTTAGAATTGTACTTGGCATGTGGTTGGTGACTGTTTGTACCATATTTCTGCATGCACATTCTTGGTTCAGTGTGGCATTGTACCACTGTGTTTAAGGTTTAATTATCAGATAAAAACCATTGGCATATCTGTTGTCTTGGTCATTTTGCATGTTTTGTACTGGGACATTTCAAGTCTTTTACTAACACAGTTAATCATCATCAAAAGTAGATATCGATTGAGCGGTGCCAGAAGACACCAGAAGTCAATCCTTTCTAGCCAAGGTCACTCGTGCTTGTTAACCATCTTCTCTTTACCCCTCCCCTAGTTTTATTCAGAAGTATTTATTTATTTATTTATTTATTTATTTATTTATTTATTTATTTATTTATTTATTTATTGGTGTAAGATCTCACTGTGTATCTCAGGCTGTTCTCAAATCCAAGATTTTCCTGTCTTGGCATCCTGAGTGCTAGAATTACAGACTGGCAACACCATTCCTGGCTTAACTTTTAGTATTTCATTAATAAATGCTAATCCTTGCGATACGTAATATGTATTTTTAAGCAGCCCTGTATGTTTGAAAGCCAGCTAGTAACGTATATATGTATATATTTGTGTCTTTTTCCAATGGGACTACTCAGATCATTGCTGCCTCGTTTGCTTGCTATTGTACGAACATGGAAAGCACATACGGATTAGAAGTAGTTGGGCACATTCCAAACGGGTAATGTAGTCTTTCTTTTAATATGTATTTATCTGAATGTTTTGTTTTTTTTTTCTTTCTGATGTTCAAAGGACCTGAGCCTGGGTAGGAATGTCTTTTTCTTTTTCTTTTTCTTTCTTTCTTTCTTTCTTTCTTTCTTTCTTTCTTTCTTTCTTTCTTTCTTTCTTTCTTTCTTTCTTTCTTTGTGGCTGTATGAGGCAAAAATCTAATTAATTTTTATTGCAAATTCCAAAACCAACATGTGGAGAAAAATAGTAATTTTCTAGGTTATAAGCTAACCTGTTATTCAATAACCATGTAATTATTTTATGCAGAGCTGCTTCAAATAAAAGATTTCAAAAGGATTCATAAAGATATGGCTTAAAAAATAATGGCGGTTGCTAAGTTTGCAGACTCTTGGATTTGGCCCACTTTAATTGTCCAGTCACCCACATTCTTGTGGCCATTTTTATATCACTTAAGTTATGATAGATGTAAACAAGCATCCTGCGGAATTGGAAGCCCACAGGCCTGAGAAGAGAGCTATAGAGAAGGGTACAGTAGCCGGCTGCCTCTCTTTTCTCCCTCCAGACTTCAGGAGAATGTGTCGTTTAACACTGTGAGAGAACAAAGGTCCTTCCAAACACAGTCTGACAAGATATGGCTGAGAAGAATGGATGCCTTATGTGTTGGTCCCCCTTTGAAAAGCTGTATGACACAGTCAGGGACAAAGTCTAATTCTGAGACAAAGTCAGAATTGATGGGTCTTCTGCACTTCATTTTTCATCTTGTTAAAACAAAACAAAAAACAGTATAAAAATTTTCAGAAACTTAAAAAAAAAAAAGGTTAATTAAAAAAAAATCCTTTGTGTTTGCTGGCCTGTGCAGATGCAGGCAGAGGAGGTTTTCTTTAATCAACTCTGGATTCCTAAAGGTCCCTTTGCTTTTCCTTTGAAAGCCAGTTAATTGTTTCCTCTTCAGTTCAATTGTTGTTATTAATCAGTCACATTCAGGTTTAATGAAATAAAGGTTTGACTGCTTAATTTCAAGTTTTGTTTAATATGTATCTTAGGATGTGTACTCATAACCTGTCGGGGAAGTAAGACACAGTACATGGTGACCACAATTCATGGCTCTCTTCCTTCTACTCTTGTTTACCCTTATTTGAATTCCTTTCTCAGAAACCCCTTTAAGGAACTGCAAAAATGCTCGGCTTTGAAATCCAAGGGCTAAGACTGAAGCCCAGCTCAGCTGACCTCCAAACGTTTTCTCATCCCTACAGCGGTTGTGGTGGGCTTGATTTGGGGTTGTTCAGAAAATTGAATGAAACAGCTAATGAGAAAGAGCCCATGTTCTACTCATACCCTAGATAGTGAGCCACTAACCAGTATGAAATTTTTATCACGGGGATTCTTTCATAGGGGAGAGGGAGGTAAGTTTTCCAAAACGACAAGAAAAACACAAATGGCTATTTGGCTTACGTGCTTTTCAAGGGACAATAAGACATAATGGCTTGGTGTTATCTGAGAAATGTTTTAATGACTTTGGAATGAAGCTAAGTGTGGTCTGTTATGCAAAAGAGAGTAGAAGACATCGTCCTGCATATTTTGTTTAGCGTGAGTAAGCCTGGCCCGACTGTCTCGTGAAAGGATTGAGTTAAAATGTAATTACCACAATGAAGCCAATGGTGTATTTGGAGATTAGTGGACAGTAAACTGGTGTTTGCCTGAAACTCTGCAGCAGTCGAGGGAGGAAACGCGGCTCCAGTGCCAGCCAAATAAATATTTGGAAAGGTTCAAATGAAGGGAAGGCCAAGATAGGCTTTTGTTTCCTACAAGAAACCTTTGTCAAGTCAGAATGGCTGTGGTGTGACCTGAATTCCCTGGGTGTGAATGTCAGTTAGATGCTTGGGGCTCTCCCCGTGGTGGCGTTTCTTACACTTTTGCTTTTCTGCTAAATCATATTGAAAATACAAGGGCTTCTCAGAGCAGGCCTGTTTAGTTTTTGTCTTGGAGGTTTCACGTATTCCTTGTAAACTTCAGAACCATTACTGAACCGGAATTCATGGCAAGTTCATAACTTCAGTCTTTCTGTCCGTAGGATTCCTCCACCCCGTGCTCCTCCAATGAATGTCCTCTCTGCAGTGTTCACCGAGGCTTTCGGGGTTGCACTTGTAGGCTACGTGGCCTCACTGGCTCTCGCTCAAGGATCTGCCAAGAAGTTCAAGTATTCAGTTGACGACAACCAGGTGGAGTGTGCCCCCAGGTGCCCCCAGCCCCTCTCTACCCAGGGGCTTTCACTGCTCTGCGGGCGCTCGACGTCTGAAAATACACCTTTCAGAAATACACCTGTTCTGTGGCAAGAACGGGCAGAACAAAACACAGAAGAGCCTTGGAGTCATTCACAGGGAGCTGAGAATCTAGGTCTCATAGCTTATAAAAATGTTGATTTGTCCATTCCCTCTTTTTATCTACACGTGCATCAGAGGACAACCTTCAGGACTCAGTTCTTTGCTTCCCGCATGTGGGTCCTGGGATTGAACTTAGATCATCATGTTTGGTAGCGAGTGCCTTTACCCCCTGAGCTGGCTCACTGACTTTTATAATACGTTTTTAAAGAAAGATGTACACCTTTATGTTCTTTTATTTGGTGTTAGGAGAAAACGCAAGCGTTTTGTGGTAGATAACGTTGAAGGCTTAGGGATTTCAAAGTGGAAGACTAACAATTGCTCTTATTAAGATGCTACGGGGTGTGAGGTTCTGTTTCTACACACCTCAGGGTACATAGACATTTGTTTACCGAATTCATCTCTCCCTGGGTCTTTCTCATGTCCCAAGGCCCTGTGTGGCTCCTTGGGCCTGAACGAAAGCTGTGGAGTACTGCTCACAAGTGCAGTTACCCGCGCACAGACCTCACACTGAGGTTGTGGGACCTTAGTCCTCTCAGCATACGCGAACATTAATCCCCGCCAGAGCTGCCAGGGATAAAATAGTGAACACAGGTGAATGCTTTCTTCCACTCAGAAACTTCCGGGGCCTTTGCTCTTTCCTGCTCAAATTACAGACCTTGTTATCATGGCTCACAAGGCTGGATGGAAGGTCCCATTTCTTGTCTAGTCCTCTGTGATCTGTCCTGCCCACACTTTCTATCTCTCCTCCGAGCTCACCAGTCAAGATTCTGGCTGGGAAGTTTGCGCCCACAGCTCTGTTTCTGTGGAATTTTCACATATCTCTATAACTGTTTGTCCCAGATGCTCACTTTGGAGGAAGACTTCTGTTGACCAAACTCCTCAAATCCAGGCCTCTCTGCAGTCTTCTCTGTTTGCTTTCTAGCTTTGTCTATTTGCTATCTGCGTTTTCTTGCCAGAGCAACAGCTCTTTGTGGCCAGAGATCTTGTTTTTAGTAACTGATACTAATAGGAGCAGGCAAGGTAATAGGAGAATTTTTTAAAATTTATCCAGTAGGAATATGACGACTGGCCCAGGCCCTGGTAAGGAAAAGCATATGTGGACGGGCGCTGGGCTGAACATGGAGGCTGTGGGAAGAGCCATGGATCACTGTACAGCTTGGGGCCCAGACTTAGGAGGATGTGATTCGGATGGTTAAAAACTGTAGATAGATTCCTGAATTCTCATTAGCTTTCAAACATTAATACCAAATAGCAGATTGGATAAAGGAGTCTGAAGTTAAGAGGAGGAGTCCAAGCTGAAGGTATAGATTTGGGAGTTGTCGGTGTATACTTGGGTAGTTAAGATGTTTATACAAAAGGGAAATAGTCTTACATTTGCCGTTGGTTAGATAACAAAGGAAACTGACATGTGACAGCCAGAAATAAAGGAAACTTGGAAAGAATAGGGTGCCAGAAGCCAACTGAAGGGACTTTTAAAGAAGGATGAAATGAGCAGCTTTGTCAAATGCTTTATACCAGGTAGGTAAAGAAGTACCCATTGGAGTTGGTTAGGCAGAGGTCAAAGGACAGTAGTAAAAGCCCAATTGGGAGAAAGAAAAGGGCAACGGTGCAATGGAAGTCTTGAATAAATAGAATTTCCTCACGAGTTCATTATGAGAGCTGAGTGATGTGCTTTGGGTAGTTTTGGAGGATTGGAAGCAGTCAGTGAATGTTAGCTATTCTTATAAGAAAGTATTACGTCTCAACTCATGAGGAGATGAGTAACGGACTATAAACAAGCTTAATTCTCTGATGAACTGTACCTGGGACCAGAGAAGAGGATTGTGATAGAGAAACGTTCCATTCACCCATAACTAATCTTGCAGGAATTTCTGGCCCACGGCCTCAGCAACGTGATCCCTTCCTTTTTCTTCTGCATCCCAAGCGCTGCTGCCATGGGAAGGACGGCTGGTCTGTACAGCACGGGCGCAAAGACACAGGTAATGACTGTTCTGCGGGTAAGAGGGACTGTGGAGCCTTCACCTCTTTCGCAGAGTGGAAAAGAGCAGAAAAGAGCAGTGTCGAGCCTTGAAAATGCTGCTGATTTATATTTCTAAGTAGCTTCTACAAGCCCTTCCTCCCTCCCTCTCCTACTCCCTCCTTCCAGTTCCATCTCCCCGTTTTTTCTTATCTTTGCCATTAATTAATGACTTTTCCACAGGCCCAATGATAAAAGGAACATAGTGTTGCATTCTGCATCCTTGGCAGCTTTATTATTAACAATCTTGAAGCCAGAGCACTCTCTAGTGGTAGCTCAGTTAATCTAAACAGTCTGGGTGACCTTTTTTTTTTTTTTTTCTTCCTCCCCTCCCCCTGTTTTGCTCACTTCCTTGACATAAAATAAAACCAAGCCCAGGCAGAATATATGTATGACAATGTGGAAATGTGCCAAAGTACCATTCTATATATTTAAATATTTGAGGTTAAAGAAGAAATTGTTTTATATATAGTTTAGAAACTCAAATGGATTTTTTTTTCCAGTCTGATCTATACTAGGCATTGTGCTAGTAGTGGTAGGATAATGATGATAGTGATGATGGTATTGATGGTGGTATAAATAATATTGAATTGTGTGTCAACTTTATTTATCTGTTTATTAATTTATTTTGTTTTTTAGAGACAGGGTTTTTCTGTGTACCCTTAGCTGTCCTGGACTCACTTTGGAGACTAGAATGGCCTCAAACTCACAGAGATCTGTCTGCCTCTGCCTCCCTGAGTGTATGTCTTCTTATGTAAATGGACTCAATCTTTTAGGCAACCCATTGAAAGATGTAAAATTTTTGTTCTCAGTCTTTATGTGAGAAAATAGAGGGCAAGGTGGCTGAAATAATTGGCCCAGGCATTGTGTGATGATACTTTTCCTGGGGAGACTCAACACACACATCTGCTCACTCCAGATAGGGAGCCCACAACAGAGTTTACTTATGTTTAGTACAAAGTCCAATTTAGGGAGCCAATAAGTTTTACTGAGGTTACTCAGAGAAAGATGTCGAAGGATTCCTTACAGGAGCAGAAATGACTCAAAGACAGTTGCATGAGCAAAGCCCACCTCAGCAGGAGACAGCTCACAGAAGCTGGGAACCGGGAGCACACTGCACAGCCTTCAAGCAGCTAACAGGTTGCAGAGTCCTTTTTCAGATCCCTCAGTTGGTCTACACCTCTTCAGGTGGCTCAGCTGACTTCTCTTCTTCCCAGCAGCTGATCTGGTCTCAGTGTTCTTTGTGGCTTAGCTATCTGCAGCTAACTCTGTAGTCTTCATTGGAGGGGCCCAGTGAATTTGTTCAGATTCAGGGAGTTCCTGAAGCTACTTCGAGTTGCTTATTTTCTGGCTTAAGGAGCTTCACTGCAGGATGGAATGTTTGAAACTGCTATACAGTAGCAGGTCACAGACCTAGAGAATGGTGAAGCTGGGATTTAAACTCAGAGCGGTTTGTACTCTTAACCGGTGACCCATCAGGAAAATTGATGTGTATCATGAGAAATGAACAATCACAGCTAAGCCTTATTAAACAATTCTTGTGTAAAATAGAATTGAATGAAAATACATAAACTATTTTTGTGCAAATTTAAACATTTACTAAAGGTTTATCTTAATAATATAGTTTTTAAGTAGCAGAACAAGGCATAAGCGAAGTGTATGTTTTGTGATCTTATGGGCAAGAATCAAGCTAAATACAGATAAAGAGTAAAATGCTGAGTCATATCATACAGGGGGGTCACGACCACAGGTTGAGAACCACTGCTTTACAGCATATGGCAGAGGGAGATGCAACAATCAGTTTTGAATACATTACAATAAAAAAAAAATACAACTTGTTTAAGAAGCAAAAGTCTTATGTAAGCTTGGATTCATGACATCAAGTAATTTGATGGGTTTTTATGAAGTTAGTGATTTCAAATACAGATTCATAGTGTCTCTTGGCTGGGACAAACCTTTTTGTAATTTACTCTTAAATGTATGTGACCCTTTTCTCTCATGACTCCTTCCTGTAACATTCTAGGGGTCTATATATTTTTGTCAGGCATGTCTTTAAAGAGTGAATATTTTAGATTATTTACTGTCCTGTTTAGGCTCTATGAATGAAATGTGTTGAGTGGTTCTAGAAGCTGGGCTTGCGCTCTGGCTCCACCACGTACAAATGGGTGACTTGGCACGGTAACTTGACTCATTTGGTCTAAAGTGGACTCAGCTGACAAAGCAGAATCACACTGTATAAAGATTAAATGGATCAATACATGCTCAGCTAGTAAGACACCTAAGCACACAAAAACCACTCTGGAAATGCCAATGGTTACAATTGAATTTGTCATGTTTCTGTTATTGTTTTTCGTAAAGATGTTTGTGTGGCTGGGATTCTCTTGGGATGGTTTTCTTATGCTACTTGGCTGATTGAGGAAGCTGATACTGTCACTTGTCTTATGGAGAGAGAGGCTGAAACGCAGCCCTGAGGTGGAACCACCATAATGTGTGTCATGTCTGATCTTAGGTGATTTGCATGTGTTTTTAATCACTGTTTTAGTGACAAGGACACTTTTGGCTTAGTCTTTGTAACTTTCAACACTGAATGTTTCGTAGAAAGAACACTTTAGAAAATTTGTCCTAAGTATAGAATCTGATCCAGTTAAGGACACTATTTACTAGGATGTCTTTGTTCTGGCGTCACATGTTTGAATGATTGCATCAAGAGAACATTTCTAAAGACTTTGTAGTTAATAAAGATTTTTTTTTTCACTGCATGGCATTCGATTTATCAAACTTCAAAATAAACTAGCAAAAACACCAAAGCCCCCCAGCAGAATATTCTCAGGGCACCGTGCTTGCTGGGCTGATGACTACGTTTCCCATCCACTTCTATGCAATCACACAGAAAAAGAATCTGAACCAATGTGCTTGCTCAAGTTGAGGATGCTTTGGTATCCCTTTCAGACCATTTACATTGTAGCCACTAAGTGTACATATAGCATAAGTGTAGATGGTGTGGCTTGAGGAGAACTCTAAGGGCATCTTCAGGTTTGACTCTATTTTGGCTAGTTCTGAAGGCGGCTTTCTACACTTGGTGATCTCAAAGTGCACGGCCTTCAATGCCTCCCCTAGGCACTAGCCCACATACCCACTGAAGTCACCTGAAACACATAAAAGCCCTCCAACTTCTCAGCTAGTTACAACTCAAATGACAAGCACATTCCCTGCCCATTACCTCACTGCCTGCAACCGCCGCAGTGTCCCCACAGGACAACCTCACTGTGACAGTTTATTTAAGGCTAGAGTGGAGCTAAGTGGTTGGAGAGTACTTGTCTGCCCTGCGCAGGATTTGATCCCCTGCTCTACAAACAACAACAATACAGTTATCCTTCTAATAGAAGGAAAACACCATAATCCTTTTTCTTCCTTCAGTCCCAGAAAAGGCTTTGCTCAGGTCAGAGTTCATCTTTTCTACACATTCAAGTACTTTCCTAGACAAGTCTCAGCTGCATAGCTTTCCTTCCTTCCTTCCATTCTTCCTTTTCTCTTCCATCCTAAAATTTCATGATAGTTTGATTTATAAGCATGTGTTTTTGTGTGTGTAATGTGCACACTCATGCAGTGTCTTTAGAGGCCAGAAAGAAACAGAGTCGGATCAGGTGGTTGTGACCCACTTGAATGTGGGTTGGGAACTGAACTCAGGTCTTCTAGAGGAGCGGCTGGAGCCCTTCACTGCTGAGCCACCTCTGACCCCCACTGGACTGTTTCCTACCGCATATTTAACTTTCTTGCACTTGAGTCTTCTCTTCTGGTGGGCTCCGCTCTCTTCAGGATGACTTCCTGGTCCCTCTTGGCTGCTCCCTTCTATTCTTCAGATATCACTAACGCTTGTGGCTTATGTTTCTTCTCTTCAGATTTTGAGCACTGTTTGACATTTTGTATTCATTATTGTGACCATATGAATTAAAGCCACTGGAGAGCAGAGTTTCTACCCCTACAGTTCATGGTATCCTTGGTGCTCATTTAGCAAGTACTGACACGCCGTAATTACTGAATCACTGTGTGTAGACACAGTGGACATGAACGAAAAATGGCTAAGACTTACTTATAACTTAGCAGTTTTGCTGCCATTAATGCCCGAGATTTGGTTTTGTTTTGTTTTTTTTTTTTTTAATTTGTCTGGCAGTTTTTATTACAAATGATAAAATTTAAATGTAGTACTTTTATTGTTTAAACGTTCTATTTAAAATCAGGCATTTGATTGTACACTTCCGAGAAGTCCTGTTTGACAGAAATGCAATTTGAGCTACCCATGTAATTTAAATTATCTAGTGGTCACATCTTTAAAAAAGGAAAACCTACTAAAATCAATTTTAATACATTTTAATTTACCTGACAGGATAAAATTATTATAATTTAAACATAGATTAAAGATATAGACACAGTACTTTAAAATATTTTTTTGATAAAAGTTAAGAATCTGGTAAGTATTTTATATGTTCAGAGTAATATGGAAAAGTCACATTTCAAGGACTGAAGATGCCTAACATGGTGACTATTGGCCAGGGAATCTAGGACTGTTTTTATGTCAAGGAGTGGAGGGCAAAGACTTTCAGTGTTTAAGAAAAACTAATTAAATGGTTTCAATGGAAATAATAAAAGATACCGATCATTTAATAGAAAGTCCTCTGGTCAAAGACACAGACACAGAAATGCTCTTAGCAGTGTTCTCCTTTCCACATGATGCCCAAAGCCTGTGTGTTCAAGAAGAGCCTTTGGGAGAGAAAGGCAAACAGCACAAATGAATACTGTTTCTTCCCAACTGGAACACTAAATTCCTCTCCTGCATGCTTCTCTTCACCTCCAATAGTGGAGATACATCTATGCTTTCAGGGGCTTCAGAAGGATTAGGGAATCATGAGGGATGCTAGACAGCCTCTGCTGCAGAGGTAGTGCAGCCACAACTGAAAACAGCAGCCGGCATGCTTTTTTTGTAAACGCTGAGATTGCCTCTGGGCTATAATTTGCAAAACTGTATTCCTTTAATGCTTCCAGAAGTTGGCTCCTTGCTTGCATCTTCTACAAGGCTTTCTTAATTTGGCTGTATTGATCCATATCCTGCCTTTTTTTTCTTTCTTTCTGCCCTTTCCTATCTCTTTTTTACAGTTCCACTATTTTTATAGATCTGTATGTCATTTGACCCTTGCTTAGGAAGCAAGCAATTGGGATCTCCCTCTCTTTCCAGCTAAGTACTATGTATCTATGGAGGACACTAACACATATGGGTAGAGGTCATATTTGTAAGTGATGAGCAATTTATAATGGTGCCACTGAGATCATTCCTTCTGTCCCTCTGGAAGAGAATTTATATGCAGTGTTCACATGGATACACATATTTGTACATAACTGTCATAAAATATGAAGAGAATAGAGACTTTATTAACTTTTACGCAGACTTAACTCTTAGACATGACTACTTAAGTGTTTAAGACAAAACTGATCATGAGGCATTTAGTCAGCATGCCATGAAATATACTGAAGAGAAAAACACATGGGCAATGGACGCCCTATGGATGCGAAGATTGTGAATACTTGCTTTTGGCATTTATAATCTGAATCTTTCTAAAACTTACTGAGAACTTACTTATGCTCTGTTTCTCTTCTGACAGGAGAGAGAAACAAATTGAATACTATGGATGAGAGCCTAAGGGAGTTGCATATTACCTATTATTATTTAGCTTCTGTGTAGCATTTTATAGTAGCTTTAGTAGAGTGTAATCTATCCAAGCACTTGAAAAATACCTTTGAAATTCTCTAGCTAAAAACTAGAGCAAGGCCAAATTAAACTATGCATTCCCCAAACCTCCATTGCCAGGGCTGAGAACCAAATGCTCCATGTTAAATCAAATTAGAAGAGTGATGCATGTCATACTTCAAGTAGAAGAAAAGTTAAGTTAAACAAAACTCAAAAAATAAACACATCATTGCAAATTCCTCAATGACTGTGCATTCTGCTTCTTGTCATTGGGCTTATTGTCATATTTAAAACTATTGAACTGAAAAAAAGGCTGTTGCTTGATTTCCTTTGGAGAGAAGGGTAAGTAGGAGACAGGGAGACAGACAAGGAGAGAGAGAAATTGCCCCCCTCCCACTGTGCCTTGTTCCCTGCTGTGTGCAGTATTCCCCCTTTCCTATTAAATCCATATTTCCTGCCACCAGCAATTCTTGACAGAAGTTAGAAAACTTCCAAACAATAGGTTTGTACTAAGATAAACTCTCACTTCAAAATAAAGGGCTTATGCTAGAGAAATGGCTCAGCAACATAGAACACTGGTTGCTCTTTGAAAGTACCAAGCTGTAATTCCTATCAGCCATATGGTGGCAACCACCTGAACTCTAGTTCCAGGGCATCTGACACTTGCCTCTGGCCTCCATGAGTCCAAGGCACATGGTATACAAACATATCTCCAGGCAAAACACTCATAACAAATAAAGCTTGAAAAATAAGGAAGGTAGTGTTCTAGAAATCACCACATATTTTTGAGTGGTTACTATATATATGTTGGGCTGAATGAAAAGACAATCCAAAGAACCTGAAATTAAAGTAACCAACCAACCAACCAACCAACCAACCAACCAACCAACCAACCAACCA